GAAACTAATTCCGCGCGTTGCCCAGCCTGGCATCAGACTTGTTGTCCAAAAGCCGGAAGCTTAGCTCTCGCCACGGCACTCTCTGCAGTTCCACTGCGGCAGTCTGCACTGTCCGCCAATCCCCTTCGTAGCCCAAAGCACGCTGTCTGACGCACAGAGGTGAATCAGAGAGGTTGGTTTCTGTGCGCTATACACATGAGGTGTCGTTCGATTGCAGGAATTGCCCCACCACTTCTACTCTTCATGTGGTGTCAAGAACCAAATTGATTTTGTTTTGAGGGTACTTGGCTTGCACGCAGTGCACTTTCCTCTCGCCTGATACCGTCCACCAGCAGTGAAAAGACCAAGTGCACATTTACCTGGAATAGCGGCCAAAACTTGTGGCGAAATTTTAAACAACAACTGGGCATGCGTTTCATTATGACTCCAGTGCCAAACCGCGACTAAAGGAGCAGGTTTTTGGCAGGCTGCCTCAACATGTTTGCCAAAATGTACAATGCCATTGCATTCAAACCATTTGTCCAGCCAGTGCTTTGAGCATATAGTTCAATTAGACAAGTCACCTGGACTCTGACATCAATGCCAGAACTGTCTGCATTGAGCTTGTACGCAATGCGCCGGCAGCTATCCGGGCAAGCATTCGCAACTCCTTTTCCACCGATCTTCGCCGATTGGTCCATCTCATCATGCTGCAGGAAGTCTGTGATGCATGGCTGCAGATGTGACAGACCCGATCTAGGCACCAGGGATGCCAGCAATGGTTGCCATCCTACACGTCCGAAAGAACAACATTGAACCTACGGTGCCGCATGGTGTAGCAAATGGTGTGTATTGTCTCAGATCGTTTCAAGTGAAGTCCTTTGAAATTGGGACAAGTCCGAATCTGCTGGATCTTGGCCTCTGCAGACTCACAACTGTGATTATCGAACAAAACAAGCAGCACCGTGGTTGGGAAAGGGGAATACCCCCCACCCACGGCTACAAAGAAATAAACTGCAACGAAACTTTGCAGTGCGTTGTTGCTTTCAAACTCGGTTCACAATCACATTTGAAGGAACCATTGTGAATTTTGGTCCCGCACTTATATATATATAATATTATATATTTATATAAGGACAACTTAGACTTGAACACTCTGTCAAGTAAAAGACCAAATCAAACATAGGGTAATGCCAATGCAGTGAAAGTTCAATAAAACTTACACAAAAAAAATACGCATACATGCGGGCGGAACACTCTGTCAAGTAAAAGACCAAATCAACATAGGGTAATGCCAATGCAGTGAAAGTTCAATAAAACCTACACAAAAAAATACGCATACATGCGGGCGGTCTATGCAACCAATGTGCGCTGTTGTGCATCTTTGCTGGAACATGTCATGGACAAGCCGGAGGTTGCGCAAACAAACCACAGTTTCGCATAGTTTACAATGATACTGGATAGAAAAAATAACACACAACTGACACAAACTAGGTCTTGCCTAAGAAATCATGTGGGTGCATGCCCCAAAAAGGCATATCCCTTCACCTGGCCTGCGTTTTGGGACGCAGGTATCATATGTCGATATTATTCGATATTAACTAACTTATTGTACATATTTGCTGTAGGCCCCGGCTTAGCCTTTGCCTGGGCGGGCGGCGCGTGGGATACCGAAGGTTGCAACTTGGCTTTGCGTGGCTTTCACCCTGTGTCGCGTAGCGGCAGAGGTTTCCTGGCGTCCACACCGCTTTCAGTGGCTCGTCTCAGGGCAGATCCCACTCCTCGGTCCTCACATTTTTTGATGGGTTTCGAAGCTAGCAGCTAGGGTTTGAGCATGTTTTCTGGTATCTTTTGCGCACAGAAGTGGATGAGCTAAGGGCACGGCAGGGGGATTTTCCTGAGCAGCGTCCACGCCTCTTTCAGTGGCTCATCCCTCTGGGGGTTGGTTTCTAGTTTCTAGCAATGAGATGCAATGAGATTGATTGTGAGAACTTCTGGAACTTGGTGTGGGTGGATGACAACTGCACACCCGAGCAACTGACTTGTCTTGGACATGGCACTGCAACGCAAGCGCTTGAGGCGCCCCGGTGCTTCAGCCCCTCACCATCAAGCGTCCCCCATCGCAGGCGAACAGCAAAGCCCGCGTCCTTGAAGATGGCTTCAATTGCCCCCAGGGTGCGCATTGTGTCGCCCAAGTTGCTTTGCATTTTCGGTGTCTGGTTAACCTGCTTCTAACAACAACAACAAGATTCACCTGTTTGCCCCACTGAAACCCCTGCTGGCCCGCTGTTGGGCGTAAGCCCCTTAAATGTTTCTTTGATTGCGTAGTGTATATATATAACTATGTAAAAATGCACCTATTAATATCCTGATAGGTTTACTTAAGACCTTGGTGTTTTTGAAGTTTTGGTGGATCGAAACCGAATTATATAAACAGTAACAGTAGTGTGTTCAGCATCTGTACAACAACTGCAAAGAGAAAGTTGGTCTCTCAAACGCCTTTGTCCAAGTTTTAGGCCATTGTCAAGTCTGTTGATCGGTACGTGGAACCCTCAATTGAAAAGGATGCAGCGGCGAGCCGCCCTTGAAGGCCCAGTACTCTTCATCTTGACAAACCGTTCTTCTTGACGCCTCAAAACTACGGAGTTAGACCAACCAAAAGACAACATATCCACGCACTTACCAAATTGGAAAACGATTGATCGCATCGCTGTGCGTGATACAAGTACAGTCCAAAACCATGCGCGACATGGGGCCTCCGCACCGCGCCAAAAAAACAAGCAGAGGAGTCTACTTTGCGTGTCTGTAAATATACAATTATCAACTAATCATTGCGAGTAAATACCATGTGTCACTGATGTCACGTGCAATGGCCCAATGGCCCTGGCTGCATTGGGGACATAAACAATCCCATTATTTTTAAAAAAAAATATGTTGTAGGATATTGTCGGCCTGTATGTCTTGTTACGGTATATTTGCTTCGTGCTTGTTCCGTGCCTCAGTCTCGGATCTGTTTGCACCCAGCAATCCGCAGCCACGGATGAAGCTGAAGATCTCATCAGGGTATCGACGACCCACAACGGGCGTCACTGGCTTCCAAGCTTTGGGGCCAACCAGTCCTAAAAATCAGAGCATTGATGATTCGTCGCAACATCATTCAACTCAAGCTCTTGTTTGGCATTTGCTGGCTTATATATTGCTAGTGGCTTAAAGACCAGCATGCTGTGCTGTCTTCCAACCATCAGTTCGCCCACAATTTGTGGGGAGATTTGAGATTGACAAGCTATCAATATCATTCACCTATGCAGTACAGTCAAAGACATTTGGCCCGAGCTGCGAATTAGTCACAGTTGTGAACACGGTCAAAGTATTTTTTCGGAAACTAAAAAATGATCTTCGGAAACTTTACGGTTTTCTTCGGAAATTAATCTTCGGAAACTATACGGCTTTCTTCGGAAACTAATCTTCGGAAACTATGCGGTGTTCTTCGGAAACTTTACGGTGTTCTTCGGAAACTGTTAAGTTAAATGTTAAGTGGAAACTAATCTTCGGCAACTAAAAGTGATCTTCGGAAACTTTACTGTAAGGTTTTCTTCGGAAACTATTCCTCGGAAACTCTACGGTGTTCTTCAAAACCTAATGTTCGGAAACTACAAAGAGTCGAAGAGCAACATCAAACCTGCTCGAAACACTTTCTGCAGATCGCAAAACAAGCATGTATATACCGTAGCCGTCACAAGGTACGTCAATATCCCACCCACCTACCCACCCACCCAGTGCTCCTTCATGCAAATTGGCTGCAACATTGTAAAAGTTCTGAGGAATACTTTCTAAAGTTAGCTTTCTGAAGATCGCGAAATAGTCTCTGAAGATCGCGGAATAGTTTCTGACAATCGCAAAATAGTTTCTGAAGATCGCAAAATATTTCTGAAGATCGCGAAAAAGTTTCTGAAGATCGCGAAATAGTTTCTGAAGATCGCGAAATAGTTTCTGAAGATCGCAAAATAGTTCCTGAAGATCCCAAAATAGTTTCTGAAGAGTAGTTTCGGAAGAGTACCAAATATTTGCGGAAGAAAAGTTTCAGAAGAATGGAGAGTTGCGGAATAGGACTTTGTTCTTGTGAACACACAGAAAAGAGTCCCGCAAGAATGCTATGTCCGGCAGAGAGTGGTCACTGTCAAACATGCCCAAACCTTGACGCTACATCTTTGGTTTCTTTTCACGATTCTTGCACTGAGAGTACTTGTTCCGTGAATTAGGCATGTTATACATTATTTTGTGAGCTGCAATGCATCTCAGGCGGAGGTTCTCACGGTTCTTCTCAACTCAGGTCTAAGACTACACAAAGAGAAGCGAATGGACGCAGGATAACATTCCTCCAACTCCTAGGCCTAGGCAAACAAAGGTGCTGGGGAATCCGCCCTTCATTGTGTCAACCAATCGCGAGGGGAGCGCGACTTCAATATCGTCATCTGATTTCATTGGTAAGATTTTCGCCTTGGACTGAAAAAACCTTTCGAGATCTTTCGCAATTGAGGTTATCTTTCGCGGCACAAACTTAGATTGGCTCTCTAGCATTTTGTTGTGGAAGTGTTGCACCAACCTTATACAATGAATGCATGTCAATCACAGAAAATCACTTTTGTAAGTTCCTAGAAGAACAGGGCGCGTCATAGTCACTGCTTTTGAATCACCCATGTCCTCGTCTTGAGGTCTGGAATGATACTTCGGTGACTGTGAGCCAGTCGCCCTCGTCATCCGTCATCACACGGCATTCTGAGGATGTTCATTTTCTGATTGCATCTTTGGCCTTGTCTAGATCCCCGACAATTCATGCACCCACTGTGACTATCATGAAAGAATCCATGCAATGCCGGGGCTCTAAATCAACAAGTGGCGCAGCTTTCCTGCACATTTTTGTCTGTCCAATCTAATGGCCAGGCGTGTATGCTCAATGCTTTGCCAAAACAGCTACAAAGCCGCAAGCCATGTTAAGACATGATGTTTGCAAATGACATGCTTCAAGCACCTTGGCTCCAATGCTGGCACGGATGACTACAGACTTTAATGTTCTGACTAATTGCAAATGTTGCCGTTCCTGTAGAGAGACCACCCACACAAATGTAAAAAGTGTCCGACTCACACTTTCTGTAAGGGCCAAACACCAAGCGGAAGCGAACCTTTGTGGAGGACACCCAACAACATAATTTCTCAGGTCAGGAAGTGCATAAAGAGCCAAGTCAAAACGATTCAAAACGATATGAACTATCCTGTTCTGAATTCACCATCAAAAGGCTCAGGAACCAGCAAAGTTGCTTATTGGGCAGAGTGGTCACCAATAAGACCAAAAGAAACAAGTGATTGCTCTCCTTTAACCTCTAAAAAGCCTTGGCAATATGCGTCATTGTTGGTGAACCTGTTGCTTGAAAATCTGGCCCAAATAATATTGAATGATTGAATGCATGAAACAGTCAAGATCTGATGCGCACCATGCAGGCTGCTGCAAATCTTCGTGGTAGCAGCCCGGTGCTAGACCTTTGGTTTTGGCATGGCTGAAAGTTTGCACAAACAACATGACAGGGACAGTATTACTAGACGTCATGTCATTGGTGTATAATATCGTACATTGATATTGAATGATATTAATTTGCTCCTGTGCCTAATTGGCCTGATTGCATGGTACATTTGAACATATTCCAGCGCACTCACCGTCCTTGGACTTAAACTCAAAAAACTTGAAGCCCGCACTTCTCTCCAAGCGATTCCAACTGAGCTTCTCTTCGTTTTGCATCTTTGGCATCCTGGAATGAGAGCTTCCAATGCAATCATCTGCAGTAGTTTGTATACCTCTTTCCACAATAGGGCTGGAGGCTGGTCTGTTTGGCGGCTCAACTCCTCGAATGAGCTAGTACCCTTTGTATATTTACTACCTATGGTATCCTATGGTAAGTTACTGTAACTACTACCATCGCAACCCACATCGGTCAAGATTCCTCGCTCCTGGGATAGTCGAGCTTCAGCATTCTCTCTTGACCTTCGGCAATTCCGGTATGAAATACTCAATTGATTTGACTCACAAGTGTCAAACAAAAGTCCAACGTTGGAAGGTGCAGTACAAATTGTTCATTCCATCATCGCACAAGCGCAATCATGCTGCAACTGATGCGATAAGGAACTTGATCAACATATACCATACACCAAGGTAAGAAACTATTGTCCCCAACGGTCTCCAAGCTCCTCACACCTTCTCTTTCATCTCACGCAGTTCGTCCACAACCTTATGATCTAGGGGTGGAAGGGAAATCTTCGAGATTCACACCTGACAACAACCCAGTTCCAGTATCTTACAATATGAATCTCTGTCTTGGCTAGCCAAATCTTCACAAACCTTCACCGTCGGCGCCCAATTCATACGTATTCACAGTGACTACTTAGGCTATCTCTGATGGGTTTTCCCAATACTGTAATAAAAAAAGCAATCAAAAAGCAACTACAAAAAGCAAAAGCAAAAAAACATAGCAAAAAGCATTCCAAAGCAAATGAAAAAGCAAAAAAAACGGAGACAAAAAGCAAATGAAAAAGCAAAAAGCGAACATAAAGCGAACAAAAAAAAAAAAACATCGATAAACACGCGAAACAAAAGAGGAAACATGCGAACAAAAAAAAGCGAAACAAATGCGAAAAAGACAAAACATGCGGAAAAAATGTGAAAAATTGTGGTTTTTCCTTTTGGATTTGCTTTGTGTTTGTTTTTGCTGTTTCACTTGTGTTTTTTCTTTTTGGATTTGCTTGTTTTTTGCTTTTGCTTTTTGTATTTGCTCTTTTTGATGGTTTTCTTATTTTCAAGATTCACAGAGTTAGCCTGGGTCCGGCGAACACAAGATTACTTGTATATACAGTACTTGATTATGCTTGTATTTATATGCTAAATAGACTAGATATTTGGCTGTTTGACGCATCCACAGAGCTTGCTGTTTGCAGTTTTATTAAAATTCATCGAATCGGAACAGAGCATGTGCCAAGGACCAAATCCCACATCACATAACAACAATCTCCTGCCACAAACGACAGCCGCGTCACCAAACCATCAGCTGACAAACGCCCGACGGCAAGCCTCGTAGCATCAGCCATACTACCATACTCCAAGCTGCAAGCTTTTTTGAAAGAACAATGCGGGTGGTCGAGACATCATCACGCGCCAAGTCTAAGACGCAACCATCCGTCCCAATATTTTTCTTTATCTTCAAAGCAACAGGGTCAAAAGAATGCGGAACTAAAGGACTTTGAAGACAATCAAACAACACGGACAATCAAACTTGGGGGATGTCCTAGCGAGTGCCAAAAGCCCGAACACAAAGGAAAGGACGCGAAGATCAACCAGGATGCATCGCTCTGCTGATGACCAAGGGCAAATCTTGAATGAAAGTTGTTGGGCCTCCATGCCATTCCAGTTGGTGGTTTGAGAAAGGCCAGCTTCGATCGCCAGCTCTCCGACTCCTCCACCAAACTCCCAAGCAGGATTTGAGAATCATATGAAGGCAAGTCTGTCAGATCTCCTTTGAAGTTTGGTCAACGTTTGGCACATCATCACACATCCTGCCATTGCGCCTTGCTTTCCTTCCATTGGAGGTCCATGTCCTCCTCGACCTGCCTGACAAAGTCTAAGGCAGCAATTGACGCCTGCAGGTCAGTTGTTTCAGCAAAGAAGTGCTGAATAGTGCTGAAGTAACTGTCATACCGTCATATTCAGCCCGACATCTATCTGACTGCTAATGGACTCAATTGGGGGTGTCCTTGTGTGCAGAACTGCTGATGAAACACTAAATCCCAGAGTGATGTGATTCCAAATTGATTCCAAAGTGCCCAGGGGCCCAGCTCATTACAACGAGAAGGTGAAATCAAGTGAACTTTGACAACTTCGAGGCGCGGCTGTATCTAGAAAGCGATTGCTGAAAGCAATCAGGAGTTCACACGGTGTGAGTATGTATGTGTTACAAGCTTCAGGAATTTGTAGAGCCAAAAAAGGCCTGCGGTCAGTCAGCTGTTGAAGTTATATACTGGTACTATCAAAAAAAGGCGCCAAATGTGAAGACTCCATCCCACTATCAGTGCCTTCCATACTGCAGCATGAAGATCAAATGTTTTTTGAGTGCAGGAGAATCATGCGGAATGCACGGCAGGAGAATCATGCGGAATGCACCCTAGATTCACGCAAATGAAAGGTGGTGGTGTATGGCCTTTTCGTTCATCAGTACAAAGCCGTCTGCTGGCAGCATGCATTCTTCAGCCTGTCCACTCCCTCTCCAGCCGCTCGAGTCAACGGTCTTACTACAATGATGCTAGTATTTCATGATCTTAGCATTGAGTTTGGTTTGACCTTTCGCTCTATCACCCTGGCTCTCTGCCATATTATTTTGCAAGGTAAATCAGAATATGGAGCAATGACTGGAGTAATGATATGTCATCAGTGATCACAAGACTGCAGAATGTGTCAAACGATGCCTGGTGTAGATCCATTGCACAAGAGCCAGCCTGGTTTGGGCGTCCCATTGGATGATGCTCTAATCTTACAAGGATCAATTGCGGATAATGACGTTGGCTGACCCGTGTGTCTAGGCGTGAGAAGCCAGCAGTACGTAGCAACCTGAGTACACATTGTTCTGCAACTGGCGGGCCTTGAGCAATTAAACACACGCACAATCCATTCCGTTCCAAAACTCCAAACCCCTTCCAAAATGAAGTAGATAAACACAGGGAATGTCGCATCATTTCGTCAATATATGTGCGGTGGAAATTATTTGGTATCTAGCTCCAAAACACTATCCATTATGTGGGGGCCCTATCTCGTTTAGACTACTTACAGTAAGTAGGAGGTCATGTCACAGTATCTCGTTCAGACTTCTTTAGTAGCAGGACACATGTCATCATGTTTACAACTTGTGTTGTGAAGTCAGTTGAGCGCACACACAGACACACAAACACAATTCTCTAGCTGGAGTTATCACTGTCACTGAAGTTCGAGGCTTGAGAGGAGCTTTGCTCCGCTGCAGCCAGGGATTGCAGCTTTCGTTCGCGGTGTTCGAACTTTCCTTCTGCTTCGCTGCTTCTCCAGCTTCTCCGTCGTTGACGTTCGTTTTCTGACAGCTTGGGAAACAGCTCTTTCAACCTTACTTGCTGCATAGGGTCGAGAAACAAGGATGGGGCTATCCCTGTGCGCAGGCTTCAGGGATCATTCTTGGATCTCGTCGTTTGGATCTCGTTCAGGACAACCAAGTATTTGTCGAAACATTGGCTACACAGCCCATGTTGAAAACGCTCAAGTGCTCTATTTCCCCTTTGGATGGGCAAGATGTCAGTCAATCTTGCACCTCTCTTCTTACCTTCCTGCACTGTCAGCACCCAAGCACTGGTCCTTCACGGTACCGGCGCTCTTCCCATAGGCAGAACTGCAGTCCCATCGCAACGCACAAAAGCAGGCAGCCTCTACACACCTTACACCCTCCAGGCTTGAGCTGCCAAGATCTGTGCAATGGCAAGCACTGCATGTGTGCATGGTTGTCTCTTGAACATGTACCTGAATATCCAAAAGATCTGCCTTGGTTCTCCTTGCAAATGGTCGCATGCTCGCTGGCCAGACATTGCTGTCATCAAAAAAGTATATCGTTTATGTGGGGGCCCTATCTCGTTCACAAGCTAATCTTGATAATAGACAAAAAATAGAGCACGCCGTAGACTACTTTAGTAAAGCCTAAATAAAAGTGGTTGCTCATATAATGTCAAATTCCTCCATCCAACCCCGGTGTTTGAGGCGAAGCAGCAATCCTGTGGCAGGAGCCATTGGCATGTGCATCTCTGTGGTCAACACCAGAGCCGCCCTGGAATGCGAGCGACCCTAATGTATGAGCGACACGTCAATGCAAAGCTCGCCAATGCGGTATTCTGTAAACAAAGGCTGGCGCTCTAAAAGATCATCTGGCAAAACCTTGGGAACAAAAACAGTTGCTCGTCAATCTAGCAAACAAGCACACAAATTACAAATCGTCTTGCAAGAGTCTTGTAACGAATTTGCCAATGTCAAAACTGCAAACCGGCAGACTGGATTGAGCACTGCACTCCAGCAAGAATTGCTACTGCTGTGCCGACCATCAAGCGAATCCTAGTTAGTGCTCAGTAGACCACAACTTGCCAGGAAATGCCATGGCTAGCAGGTTGGAGGCCATCGCAAGCATGTTGGAGGCCATCGCAATTAGGTATAGATATAATTTATAATCTAATCATATCTAATCTCATCTGATCTTGCTTGAAAGTATCTCTGCTTTTGGTCCAGCATCCCTGAGGAGGTGGCTGATTGTAAAGAAAAAACTGACCGCGGAGAACAATCCGAAGCAGCTTGCCTGACTCAACCCATGATGGTATACGGCCGCATACCCCAACATGAAATATACAGCTGGGCCTTTATGAAACTGTGCCTCTTTGGTGGCAACTTGTTCTAGCTGATATTTCATGTTGAGCACATGCCAAGGCTCCATGCATGTTGTCGAAACTCTACTATCCGTCCGGTCCATCCTTTTATTCAACCCTTGCTTTCACATGTGAAATGCTTGTCTTTACCTTAATGGGTAAACATTAGAGCGTGTCTTGCACTCCAAGCCTCCCAAAGCAGGTTCAACTGTCATCATGTGCATTGTGCTTTGCCTCAATCAGCGCGCCACGGTCCAAAATGATGCAATTATATAGTAGTTGAAAACACAAAAGGTCGTCCCTGACAAAAGAACATGCACATGCAAAGCTATTGTCTAAAGAAAGGAAACTTCCCCCACCAAAGTTGCAAAAAAAAGTCGGCATGTCGAGTGCCGCACGTGTGCTTTAGCACATGGGCTGGGCGATGCCTCCAACCATTGCTATCCTGCCAACGTGTTTTTTTGCCTTTGAAGGGCAAACAAAGGTCAGAACGGGCTACGTGGGAATGCAGCGTTGAATGAAATTGGCGGTTGGCCTCCGAGGATACTTCTTCCTCTCAAGTCTAGGTGAGAGATGGTAAAGGAAAGCCGAGTAGGGCTTAGGAGAAGGGAAGGACAAAGCAGGTTAAAGGACATCGGGCAAAACAACTAATTTCAGAGCTCACACTACAACATCGTGCTGTAATGTTAGATTTCAAACTACTTATATATATAAGGGGCATCGCGAAAGTCTCTCTACAAATTCTACAAATGACTTGCTTTGGGGGTCGGAAACTCACAAGCCTCTTCTCCCAAAGTATGCTTATGTTTTCTTTCTATCCCACGCTTTCTCCACTGTTGCACTGCTTAGCCATTAGTTCACTTTGCAATCCTTGCTTGGTTTTTGCCTGAATCCTGAATCCTGAACACAAGTTGCAAAAACACATCAACACTTCCGCTTCTCCTTTGGGATTCCTATTGCCCTCTTTCGCCCTGTCCCTTTTGTCAAAGTGCAATGTTCAAACGGACAAAAAAAACAAAACTACTGAACTACTGCTAATACTACCACTACTACCTACTACCTACTACTCCCACTACTCCTACTCCTATTATATAATTACTACTACTACCTACTACCTACTACTCCCACTACTCCTACTCCTACTTATTACTACTACTACTACTACTACTCCTACTGCTACTGCTACTCCTGTTACTACTACTGCTACTACTACTACGACTTCCACGGGCTATAGACTCTCCCCCAGTTGTTGGCTAAGCGGGTTGCCCATTTAAGACCCAGCATTAAGAATGCTTCCTGTATATATTAGAAGCACCGTTAAATTATAACAAAACATCATGATGATGGGCTAACTGGCGCCTTCAATAGAGACAGGGATATTCAGTCTTGCAAAACTGCTTGGATTGGGCGCAGCAAGTCAAGTTCATTCTGCCGAGCCTTGCTGCAAACCTCCACCCAGGGACCCTTAGTGGGTTCCACCTCGGAGAATAGATCATCTTCCATGCCAATTTGTCTGTCCTACTTTACTTTGTCTTCTAAGTCCTTGTTCTCTGCGTTTGAAGCTAATTGAAAGATCTTAAACAAACGTTCTGCAACTTTGGCAGAAAAACAAAGCATATGAAGCTTTGGACCAGATTTGGTTCATCTGTGCCACTATGGCTCTTGGCAAAAGCAGTTCTATTGGAGTCTGACGTTTACGTACGTAATATATCACAATATACGTAGTTATCTTTGAACCTGCGCAAAGCGACTGTGAACCAACCTGTGCACAAAACAACACCATTCACATCTCACTCAACCTGGTGCAAAACCACGTCCGCCACTTTGGCCAAAACACTGCTGTCCCTTTGCCCGCATCGCTGTCCGGACTCGGATGCTTGGCCTCGCTGGCCTGCCACAGACTGCGGACGCCAAGAAAGACGTTTATGCATCGTTTCCCCGCCACCACCCAAGAAACAAGAAGCAACGCTCTA